TTCACCGACGAGCGGTGCAGCGAGGCAACCCTAGAGTTTCTGGGAACGACGGATGTGGGGAGGAAAGCACCAGCAGACCTGGACGAGTATAAGGAGGAGGAGGAGGCGAGCACCGCATCGGGGCAGAGCATGAGTGCCCAGCAGGGTACTGTGTCTGTGTCCAGTGCGAAGAAGCAGGAGATGAGGATGAGCGGTAAAAGTGTCGTGGTGCGATTTCATTTGTTTTATTTGTTAGGCAGCGGCGCCACATCGTGCTGGCTGGTAACGGGTTCCTAACCCCCAGCCGGCCAGAGTGGGCAGGAAAGGAGTGTGTTGGTTCTCCATAGTCCAGATATGCTGTATGGGAAATAAAATAGGAAGATCTCTCTCTCTCTCTAATCGCCTCGACGTTTGACGTTATTCAGCCAGAGTGGGCAGGAAAGGAGTGTGACGGTTCGCAATAGTCTGGTCTACTAAGGCTGCATGCAACAATAAATTGATGTTCTCACTCTTTGTCGCCTCGCATTTGACGTTTTACCCTGGGATCTTCAACCCAGCCAAATGGGTGGAAGCAAAAGCAAAAGCAAAAGCAAAAGCAAAAGCAAAAGCAAAAGCAAAAGCAAAAGCAAAAGCAAAAGCAAAAGCAAAAGCAAAAGCATGGGGCGAATGCGAATGCGAAAAAATCACCTACCGGTAACTATAGCCACCCGATAGGTAGTCCTTCCTGCCAGAATCCGGACCCAGTAGAGCAAAGTTATCTGACCACCGACACAGCTCTCCTGACAGGACACACACACTCGGGTCCTGGAAGGGGTCCCTCCTGTACTTTAGTGTCCCGAGAGGCTTAATAACTTCAGGATGGTGGTGCGCGGCAATGGAGTATCAAGTTGGAACGACTTAATGATATTTTTTCTCTCCTTTTTTGTTTTGTTTCGTCAGTGATTGCTTGCGGCCTAAGTAGATCATGGCAATATATGTGCACACTCTGTTTCCCCGCCACTGTCCGACCCGACTTTCATCGAGTGGCCCGATGTGGCTTTCCCTGCCCCCACCGTGGCCTGACCCAGCAACGTATGAGCGCCCTAAAGAGATGATGCTAGGAAAAACCAAATTGCAATTCCTCGACTCGTCCCTCTTGGTCGTCGCCGCTTCCTGCCTCTTCCAAAAGGGAGGCCATGAAGGAAGGTGTGGGGAAGGACAGCGGGCCGGAGCCTGGCTCCTCAGCCTCAGCGCCCTCCTCCTCCTCTCGTCTCAGTTCTGCCTCCCTCTGTTCCCGGTCCCTGAGCTCCCACTCGAAGACCTCGCTCTCTGTATCTTCCTCGGCGGTCTCACGCATCCGTCTGCCCACATCGGTGGTGGAAAGGAATTTGAGAATCGCCTTGCTGCATCGTTCATCTGCGAAGAGGTCCCGGATCTTGAATCGGTGTTTGTTCCTCCTGGTGTGCTTCCGGACCTGTGCCCACAAAATTTTCTGCTGGCTTTTCCATTCTGGGAAATTTTTGAAGAGATGCTCCCGAGTGTGAGTTTTGTACCGGCACCAGCCGCAGCGGGCGTTTGGTTAGCTTGTCGGCCACTGGAGGTACTGGCCGGTGAGGCAGTGCCCTGTCTTGAGCTGGTAAAACCTGGAGGTTAGGCGCTTGGGGGCGGAGGCTGGGAGCGCGTCTGGTGTCTGGCCTGACTTCCTGCTGAATCTGTATTTTCTGTGGGTGATACGAGCGTCGGCCCATTCCTTCGCTTCTTTCCACTGGGTTTCCGTTATACCCCGTCGCAGGTAGGCAAGCGATGCTGGTGGTGGCTGGCTGGCGCCATGTCGGTACGTGTGGCGGGTGACTTTCACTCTGCGCGCGGTCGGCTCGCTGGCTGCTAGTTTGGCCCATTCGCCGGCCTGTTTGTTCTCAGGGACGCCTTTGTGTGCTGGGCACCACCTGATTTCGATGGTGATTCCTGGCTCTCTTCGGCGGATTGTGGCTAGGTGCTTTCGTGCCTCGATGGGGTACTTCTGGCCAGGGCCAGGGTTGCCATGGGTCATCCGTCTGACGGCTGCTTGTGCGTCTGTGTAGATAGTGACTCTGCTAAGTGTGTGCCGCCTATCGGCGGCTACCTTCAATGCCCGGGCGATCGTGGCGCATACGGCATCGTAGGCCTCCCACTGGCGGCCCATATGCACCTTGCGTCTCTTCCATCCCGTGCCGTGGCGCCAGGCCACTGCGTAGCCGGCAGCCTTGGAGTTCGGCCTCGATCCATCCGTATACATCGTGAGTCCCAGAGGTTGTTGGTCTGCTGCATGTGCATGGGCGAGTTTCTCCTCCTCCATGGTGATGGTGCAGTCTAATGCTTCAGCTTCGTCCAGTAGCACTGTTTCATCTGTCCGCCCAGGGTGCCCTAGGAAGGTCACTAGTCGTTGTCCGAGGGGGCTGTCGGCCCCAACTAGTTCTCTCGCTTGGTCACCCTTAGGTAGGCTAATGAGCCTCAGGGCGAAGCGTCTGTCTCGGTTGTTGAGCTGTGATGTGGCCAGTCTCAGTCCTGATTCCAGGGAGAGAGCACCTAGGTTGGTGGCCCTGAAGTTTCCTGTGACCGCTCTGGCCTCCTGTGTAACACCGGGGTGGTTCACAGTTGGCACGCTCACAGCAGCGGGCAAAGACAGTCTACTGGTCAGAAGAGAACAGCACTTGTACAATGGCGGTGAAGTGAACGTGGAGGCCCAACTGATTCGCACGGCGGCTTGTTCTTGGAAACAACTGAAAAGGGTTGATGATCGGATAATCACGAATAGGGAGAAAGAGTAAAGTCAAGAGTAACAATGTCTGATTTTTATGGCTTAACTCCCAGTGATGGTAGTCGATGCCTTCTCTACGAAAGAAAGTCACACGACTCACCCCGCCTGATGTCTAACTATGAGCGCTCGGGAGAGTATTACCTCGGTAATACACATGAGTATCTCGTACGAGATGTGGTCGATGGTTCTAGGCACTGGGTCTCGGGTACCGAACCCTTGTCTATCTTCGATTTTAGTGTTTCCGAGCTGAACTCGTATGCACCCTTGAGTTGGTCGGCGACTATAAACGACGGAGCCGCAGCCTATTGGCCCGATGACTTCCGTGTACTTCCGGTGACTACTATCTCGCAGATAGTATGTGTCTCCTAACTGTCTGTGACGTGTCTCAAGTGCCGCAGCAATCGCAGTATGACTGCTGAAGTATGTATATGCAACTCGACGAGTTTTGATCCAAACTTCTCCAAAGTACTGACAGATGACAGGCTTCCCCTCATATACCCACCGGATCCGGATACGTTTTACCTCGCCTGTCCGGCACGACCGTTCGAGGGTTATTTTGACCCCCAAATAAAACTTTATTTGTATGGGAAACGGCAACTAGTATGCTTTTACTATGGCGGCCACGGAGGATAACCTTTGACAACCTGCACGTCTTACCGAGGTAATGGTTGATGATCACCAACAGCGGTACTGATATACTCCCATATGCCTGAGGTATGTGGCCAGCTCGCTGGGTGTAACAGATTCTTATGCGCGTCCACGTCTCGTTGGTGCCGATGTCCACAATTCCCACATCCACCCTTCTTGCTGCTGCCAGGATCTGGGCCTTGTACCGGATGGGCATTGCTGAAGCTGCGCCGCGAGTGGCTGCTGCTGTGAGCGTTCCCTTGTAGCTGCGTTTAGCTTTTTCCAGCCTGATGTGCCCGGGGGCGCCTGCTACGTGCAGGGCGATGTTCACAGTGGAGGTGATGTTCTGTTCTATCTCCATTGGGAAGGGTGTCACGCTATCTCTGACGAAGGTGATTCTTTGATCATCGCTCTTGACGAACCCTTTCGGTGCTTCGGGTGGTGCTTGGGGTGCAGGTTTGGCTGCGTTTCCGTTCCTGCCCACTTGGATAAAGCCGTCTGGCTGGTCGGTGGGTGGGGCTCCTGCTGTGACGTTTGCGTATGTCGTCTTCAGGCGTGGGATGGCCCCCAGCCCTGCCTTTGGAGGGGTCGTCTGTGATGCTTCAGGTGTCATAACAGGCGCCTGTCTCGCGATGATGTTGGGGTCTCGGCCAATCGCTGGGCAGCCCTTCGCTCTCCATTCTTCTATCGCTGGCAAGCCTGCTGCGTGTGCCCTATCTCCCGACAAGCTGATCTCATTCGGCCATCTGTCTTCTTCTGCGGCGAGCGTGCGCTCTTTTTCTTGTAGCGCTTCCTCCTCTGCCTCATCTTCAGGGCTCAACGTAGCGTAGTTGACCGCTGTCCACACTCTGCCGTAGGTCTCCACTTCATCGTCCACCAACCTCTGCCTCCGGGCTTTTTCCTCACGCGCCAGTATTTCCGGGCGTTTGAGGATTTCAGTCGGAGTTGGGACGGCGACTGCTGTATCTTGTCCTTTCCCCTTCGCTTTGGCACGGGAGCGCCCGTTTGGTCGGTGGCAGGAGGGCCCTTTCGCCGCGGAAGGGTCATCAGCCGTACGAGTGCCGCCTGGCAGGATCTTGGGTGCATGCATGCTCTCCTCCAATCCACCTCCGTCCACCCCGTCTATTCCCATCTCTGCATCTCTGGCCGCCTCGATGAGGATCGCCTTGGTGATGTCTCCTCTCGCCAGGATGGCGTCTCCATCTGCGGTCTGTGCCGCTACCCTGTCCATTTCCTCCCTGCGCTTTTTCTTCTCTTTTTCCCTTTTCCTGTTGTCCACTTCAAGCCCACGTTGAACTTGAATATTCGTCTTCATTTCCGCCCGCATCTCTATTTCCATCTCCCGATCCATCCTCTTCTGGGCTTCTTTGCAGTAGATGGATTGCAGCGGGGCTGCCCTCTGCTCCTTTCGCAGCTCCTGAGAGAGGTATTCGGAGGGTGTGGGGGTGGGGGACGGATTGCGCCGCTGGGGCAGGGCGACACTGCTGCCCGGCCTCTCCACTTAGTGAAGACGGTTCCCGTCCCACAGACCCTTGACTCTCGCCCCCATAAGGTGGCCTTGTCTCCAGTGCTCGTGCCTTTCCTTGTTCTGCTCAACCTGATAACCCCTGAAGCAGTTTCAGGAGGTGCTCTCGTAGCGGTCCAGGGACTCCAAAGTCAGCTGGGTTGCTTCCATTGTCTCGGTCAGTTTCGCCAGCACCTCGCCCAGCTTCGTCCATTTTTCCTCTTGGTTGTTCAGCACCTCCGCTAAATAGGCAGTCTTCCTTCCAAGGTCGTCCTCCATCACTTGGATGCGAGCCAAAATGGCTGACAGCATCTCCATTGTGGCCGCTTGCTGGTCACTGATCGTCGGCCGGAGGGCTCGCACCGGTCGGGCCGACGTGTGCTTCGGCTGCGGAGTGCCGACTGCTACTCTCTTTCGGGTTCTGGTAGGTGTGGCCGGCGCGGGGGTGGGGCCGTGGGTGGGAGTGCCCATCCGGTTTCCGCTCTTGCTATTCGTCCGATCCTCGTCCCTCTATGCGCCTTCTGCCAGCTCTGACAAGTCGCTCTCTGACCCAGTGTCTCCGCCCGGCATCCCTCTCAGGGTCAGCTCCATGCCTACTAAATTTTCTTCCTGCGTCTCCCTGTCCTTCGCTGCCTGAAGTCGCTCTCTGAGCGGGGTCCCCTCACGGGTACCCGCCCCAAAAATATCATCCTCGTTACCCACCCTCTTCATTTCCTCTGCTCTCTTCTGTGCGCTGCTGAGGGGCTTGTCTCCTCCCTGGGGAGGGAGAAGTAAGTCTCTCATCTGCGAGGCACTGTCTGCCTCCTCCGCCAGCTGTCTAGCCCGCTTGTCGGCTATCGCTGGGTCTTGTTCCTGAGCCGGGCTCGACATCGTGATGTTGAGTGGCGAAAGGAAGTCGGTTTCGATACTGGGGTTGGTTTAGCGTCGCTAGGTCTTGGCAAAATTAACGATGCGTGTGTGATGTCGGGGGATGGTGGTGTATTTTTTTCTCCCCAGCCCGGCGTGTGTAGCCCAGTCCGGTGTGTGTAGCCCAGCCCGGTGTGTGTAGCCCAGCCCGGTGTGTGTAGCCCAGCCCGGTGTGTGTAGCCCAGCCCGGGCTGGTGGACCGTAGCGAGTGAGGTCCAATGATGCGTCTCACTGCTAGTATCGTCGAGTGTGGTGGATCCGGCACGGCCACCTCCTGTATCCTAACAACAATTGCAACATAGTCACTTCCCGCATATGTCTGCAGAGGTAGAACGACTGTTTAGTAGCGCTAAACACATGGTGATGGGCCGCCGGTAAGGGGTTGAAGTCGGAGATCATTGAGGCCTACGAATGTTTGCGGCCATGCTTCCGCCACTGTGGACTTGTCTTTTTGGTAGAGTAGCTTTACATTTCATGTAATCCTTCTATTTTCTTCTGTCTTTCCTTCTAGAGGGCGCTGCCGGCGTGAGCCCGTTTCCTATATCTGTACAATACATTCAATACTCTCTCTTCTGTCCTTCGTCTCGCCGGCGTGAGCTTGTTGCCTATCTATCACGAGAGAGAGAGAGAGAGAGCATCAGTTTATTGTCGGATGCGGCCTTACTAGATTATGGCGACCACCAAGTTCCCCGGGAACGCTGTGTGAACTTTGAAGTCCAGACTCCAGTGCATCGACTAGCTCCCCATGTGGATCCGGATCACCATGTGGCGGGGAAACCGATCCAAATCCGGGTAGATACGGTTATCGACACGGTTATTGATCATCATCATCCAGCGATGCAGCTAGCGTGGGAGAGAGAGATCTTCCTGTTTTATTTCGCATGCAGCCTATGTATCTAGACTATGGCGAACCTGCGAACTCCGTTTCCTGTCCGCCCTGACCATTCCAGGTGAAAGCCGCGGTACCGACCAGTCCGATGCCGCACCGCTGCCTGCCTGCCTGCCAAACAAATAACAAAAGTAATCGCACCAAGAAAATATCACCGCATATCCTCATTTCCTACCTACCTACATACTTCCTCGCACCGGCCGCACGGCGCAGACACAGTACCCTGCTGGCCAGGGCACTCTTGCTCTGCTCCCGATGCAATGCTCAGATCTGGCAATGCTTGCCTCCTCCTCCTCCTACAGGTCTGGTGGAGCTCTCCTCCCCACATCTGTCGTTCGATCTAGAAACTCTAGGATTGCCTCGCTACACCGCTCGTCAGCGAACAACTCCACTATCGATCGACCACCTCTCTTTCCTTCTCTCCGTCTCCTTCCCGACCTTCACCCACAAGGCTTTCTATTGGCTTCTCCACCGTGAGCAGTTTTTGAATAGGTGCTCGCGTGATGGCGTGCCCCGACTTCGGCTGGTAGAAGCGGGCCCGCTAGCGTGCGAACCACCACCCCCTCCTACTCACTGCTCAGCCGTGTTTCCCGCGTCACACTTCAGCCGCATCCACCTATCTATGATTAGGGTTATAGGATTCTTTGTAGGGCCAGATCTGCCAAGAACTCGCCCCACAATCAACACGCGCTCCACCACAAAACCCCACAACTCCTTCTCCACCTTCCTTCCTTCCTTCCTTCTTCACTTTCTTTCTTCGCTTTCCTTCTCCACTTTCCTCCATCTTCACTTTCCTTCTTGCATCTTCACAATCACTCGTTCGATCGATACCTTCGCTACGCACCTTCAGAATACAACTACCGGTACGCACCTCCCACAACGATCACCGCCGGCAAGATAAACGCAATCCCCTGGTGCGCCGCCCGACATCATTGTCGAGAATTCCAGGATACCACCCCGGTGGCTTTGGGAGCACTGTTCTCCCGCCGTCCAACTTGGGTGTGAGGTTGGCGACAACCACGAGTCCGCGACCTCATGCGGCGCTGTTGTTTCTGTTTCTGGGGTTTCATCTTTGATGGGTCCAGAAGGAGGACAAGATGTCGACCTCATTGTCGCCATCGCCTCTGTCGATTGACGCGAGTAATCGCAAAGACGAATACCATCAATGCCCACCCGCCGCCGCCACTCTGAGAGTCGGTGGTGGTGGTGGCGGCGGGTGGGGGTTTCCACTTATTGTGGAAGGATCAAGAGAGGAAGAGATGAGGAGATGAGGAGAGGAGGAGATGATGGATGTCGAGACGACCAGCAAGGGAGAGAGGAGGTATACCAGCGTGGCACCCCGTGTGCTTGTGTTCTCCATCCACCTCACTCACTCCCTCAACTGCGATCTTTCAAGTTTCGATCCCCGGCCTATTGTTTTGTTGCCGCAGAGCAGAAAATCTGCCCTTCCCTTTCTCAAAAAGTAAGTTTCATAACCCTTGGCGACTAAGAACTGGAAAATGGAAAATGGCATGCTGACCTTTTTTGCAAGAGATTGGACCTGGGAACCAGCCCGCCCGACCCGCGGCGGCCCCGTCCCCACGGACCACTGTCCCTGGGGGCGCTGTATGACTGCTCCGAGAGGGAATCCGTGGGTTCATGAGAGAAGGTCGTGGCGGTGCGGAAGTTGTTGAATATATGCTAAGGCGCCGAGGTGGATGCCGGAGAGTGTGGAAGTTGGATTGTGGGGTGTCAAGAATATGGATGATAGAGATAGGGATGGATAGATAGACAATGTTCGGTTGATTCTCTACTTCTCGTCGGGACAGAAGGCCATATGCGACAATAAATTGATGCAGGTTCTTGCTTTCTGCTTCGCGTACCTGTTTCTGTTTTGCTTCTGGTTGTTGTATTTCCTTTCTATACCGGCCAATCTGCCCATCGCCGCCGTTGGACGAAAGACCTTCCTGCTGCCCGAGCTTGGCCCGAGGATCATCTCGCTCTCGAATAAGCGCTACTGCCAGAACAACGGACGTGGCTTCTTTATCCTGCGCGGACTTGAACCGAAAAAATACAGTGCCAGGGACAATGTCATCCTCTACGCGGGAATTGCTATTTATGTGGCCGAGAGACGAGAATTGCTATTTATGTGGCCGAGAGACGAGGACGGCAGGATGACAAGATCAACTATCTACGTGGGTTCCAATGTTTCTGGCATACTCTTCCGTTCTCCCTCTTTCACGCCTCGAATTTGACGTTTTGCCGGGATCCTCAGCCTAGCCAAGTGCGCAGAAGCAAATGCAAAAGAAAAAGCACGGGCGAATATGAAGGCCAACTCACCAGTAAGAAGTACCTAGGTAGCCGGAAGTCCTGCCTACCAGAATCCGCATCCCGCAGAGAGTCGTCCAATCTCCGATCGAGCGCGCCAGGCATATGGGGGGACACATGCGGGCAGCGCAGGCAACAGCCCAACCTATTCAAAGCCAGCCCGCAGCCCGCAGCCCGGCACCTGTAGTCCAGCCCGGGCTGTTGAACTTTTGGTGGTAGATATTCGAGATAGTATTCAGCCGAAGAGGATATATATGATGAAGTCTAGCCAGGTGGGCAGGATCAGGCCCTTTTATAGGTACCAAGACAGCAAGTCCTCAATTGTACAGAAGAGAGAACAATCAACGGTGAGAACGTGAGAAATGAGCAATCCGCAAGTCGGCCGTGAAACAAACACATGAAAAACAGTTCTTTTTTTTGTTCAGTCATTGATTACATGCGACCTATCTAGATCATGGTAATACCATCTACACATTCACCCCCCCCCCCCCCGGTTTCCACGCCACTGTCCAACCCAAATTTCGTCAGGCGGCCCGATGTGGCTTCCCCTGCCCTCCGCCCCGGCCGGTCCCAAAACCATGTCTCCACCGTTCGCACTCGCCTCCACACCCCCGCTCGTCCCCGTACCCACCCTCGTCCACGCACCCGTACAACAAACGCATGACAAGGAAACCAGCAAACGAGTGATATCCGTGAAGGATGAATCAGACAAACATGAGACAATCAACACGGGCTGGTGGGCCGTAGCGAGTGAGTTCCAGTGCTGCATCTCACTGCTACTCTAGTATCGTCGAGTGTGTTCCGGCACGGCCATCTCCTGTATAGAATCATCGTCCGCAACTGAATCATCTCTCGCAACAAAGTCACCTCCGTCAACAAATCGCCGTTATTTACGCGTAGACCTGTTTGGATGTACTACCGGTATTTCGGAGACATGTGCTGCAATCAATTGCACAACCCACGACATTCCTGCTATGCTTGTATGGTACCTTTTCTGTGGTGGTATGCTGGCATGCTGATAGGTACGCTGCTAGATTATGCTGAGCACATATGCTTCTGGTGCGCCATGCTTTCCCGGGCACTGGTGGTGGGACCATGCAATGGGTGGAAAATAACGGGCTGTCGGATAATATTCGCAGCTAGTTAAATGCACGGATCAAGCCGAGGTCCCTTCCAACTTCTCCTACATATGTGGAGAACGCCGTGTGAAGTCTAGATTTCTGTGCAAGGACTAACGCCCATGTGACCGGGAAATTGATCTAAACTCCAGGTAGATACATACGGTTATCGATAATCATCCAGCGATGCCGCTAGCGTGGGACCCACCACCACTACTGAGTACTCTTCCATACACTCCCGCTTCAGCCGCATCCCTCTTTCTATGATTAGGGTCAGACCTGCCAAGAACTCGCCCCACAATTAACACACACGCCCCACCACAAAACCTCCACGACTCCTTCTCCACCTTCCTTCCTTCTTCACTTTGTTTCTTCACTTTCCTTCATCACTTTCCTTCTTCCATCTTCACAGCACTTCCTCCCATACCTTCGCTACATTCCTACAAGCATCACTGTTGTAGAAATCCACGCTAACCGGCACACGATGCCGACGATGCCGAAGATTCCACTTCCGGGCCGCCGCCGCAGTTCCGCAGCCGCTTTGGCGGCAGGCGGCAGGCCGCCCGAAAGGTTGCCAACAGGCACGGTGGCAGGCATCCTCCCATGTGACCACCCAATCCCCTAGTGCTCCCCCGACATCACTGTAGGGAGTTTCCAGATACCACCCCGGTGGTTTTGGGAGCACTATTTATCCCTCCGTCCGACTTGGGTCGGTCGGCGACGACCCCACGACGGCAGTGAGGGTAGCAACAAGGAGCAGGGCGACGGCAGTGAGGACCTCATGCGGTGTCGGGCTGGCTTGTTTGGCTTTCATCTTTGATGGGCTCAGAAGGACAACCATACGACCAGACCGCCAG